GGGGCGTTGGGTGGGGGGGAAGGGAGGGAGTTCCCACCTCCTGGATCGTTTCAGAGGGGTCGCCCTTGGCAGCGACGACACAGATGGGAACCTTCAGATTCTTGGCAAAGTCCTTCTCCTGTTCCCGAAGCACATCAGATCCTCCTCCTCCCCCCTCACTTTCTCCTGCTTCTCCTGTCTCTTCTACTCCTCTTCCTGTGCCTCCTGATCCCCCTGCCTCTCTTTCTCTCCCTCCTCTCGCCTTCTCCTTCTTCTTCTTCACCTTTTCCTTCTCCTCAGCGCCTCCCTCCCCCCCCCTCCCTCCCTTCCTCCTCCTCCACGTCTCAAGGTCCTCTTCATCCTCCTTCTAACCTTGTCCCAGAAGGCCGCATGCACGGCGATGGTGCTGCGAAGTCCCTCGGTGGCCTCACCACCGAAGCGCATGCAGATGTATCCTCCCCAGCAGAAGCTGCCGCGAGCATGAGTACAGCAGCTGCTATAGGAGGGGAAGGCGTACCCCATGGTGCTGTGGGAGGTGACGCCCTTGCCCGCAAGGTACTTCTTGCACACCTGCAGCTGGAGAGGGAGGTCAGAACAGAGCTTGGAGGTGAACATGACTGAGGGGGAGACGAGCCATGCAAGAGGCACGTGTGGCGTTCGAGTCGACGGTGGTGAAGCAAGAAAAGGGCCTACATGTGTGTACCTGGCTCAGACACTCTGTGTAGAAGAAGCTGCCATCGGAACCAGCGATCCAAGCTGAGAGGTTGTCCTCAGGCTTGGGAGGGAACTTGTCGATAGGCCATGGCTTGTTGTTGTTGTTGACGAAGATGTCGGGGACGACAACGAGGAAGCCGTAGGCAGCAAGACGATCACAAACTTGCTTCACCTGAGGGCACTGGTCCTGAAAGCCGAAAATGTCGTAGATGACAATGACGGCATGGGATCCTTACAACGAAATATAAGAACCTAACCATCATACACGCAAATTCATCATAGACTCTGTTTGCTCTGACTGGTTCCACATCAAACTTTACCCTTAGACACCCGCCTCTGAACGAACAAACAACAAGGCGGGGAGGAGTGAGAGTGTTAGAGATCAACCTGATCCAGTGACGTACATGTTGTTTCCCTCGAACGTTTCCATCTTGCCAACAGGGTTGTACTCTGCCTGCAGCGGCTTACCCGCCTCCAAACAGCATGCCGACGCCATTGCCTTGCTAGGTTCTCTAAGAACAGGGGAGGGCACCTGGCAAGATAAGGGTGGGTGATCCTCGTAAGGGGCACCGACACCGATATAGTCAGACCCCTTCCTTCTACTATTTTGAAAGGGGTGATCGTTTCGCTGAGGGTAGTGTGGGTGGGGTGGTGGTGAATAATCTCCTCGGCGAAGCACTCCGCATCCCCCAAATAAAGAGACCCTACCCCTACCCCCTCAAAAAATCCTCCACCCCTTCTTCGATAGGTAATTCATTGGGTCTTCACCTACCCAACGTCATCTATCACCCCACGCATTGGGTACACATAAAGAAAGATCTCGAAGGATCCCATCCGACCTAGCTGAAGGCTCGGAGTCACCATATTTCAGAACCGCACGGTTCGGAAGTTCGACTTGAAGTTCCGACCGGTGACCCGGCACGGTCCCCGGCGGGCAAGGCCGGAGGCTCCGCAGCCGCTGAGAGCAGCCTTGCTGCACACACTGTGACAGCGGCAGCACTTGTGCATGGCCCCGGCCGCCGCTGCATGGCACTGAAAGTGCAACTGAGGCTGGTCCGAGGCTGGTTCACAGGGCTGTCTCAGCCGAGCCTGATCACAACGGTCTTGTGAATCATTGGGTGGCATGGCACTGTCGGACTGACTGCCAGCCTGAGAGTCCGGCACACAGAGGCCCGGTTCCGAAGTTCAACGCCGCTTGGCCGGTCACGCCGCCGGGCGCGGCCGGGGGCCCCGGCGACCCCGGGCCGGCCGGTCCGGCGGCCGGGCCGGGCGGGACGGGGCCATGGTGGCCGGCGGCCCTGCCGCGGCAACTTGGTACTACGGTACGACTGTTTCAAGAGGTCTTATAGCTTTCAAGTATTTTATAGGAAAAGACATGTATTCGAAAATTAAAAATTATTTATTATATAGGTTCCATTTTACAATCAGGTTTTGGTAAAAAATCATCGAATAAACTAGTTTTCATAATTTAAAAGTTTTTTCGAGTTTACGGCGTTTTGTTTTCGGGGGTCATGATCGATTGAACCCCACCCCCTCTTGGACCTCACTACCCAATCTTACCCACAGATTTCCCATCTAATCTACCCCTACCTGTGTACCCCCACCCATCTTCCTCATTCACACTTTCTTTCTTCATAGGGGTACCCCAACCGTTGCTCAAAGAGGGGGTGGGGTGGACTGGGGATTGGAATGTTTGTCAACATATTCCTGAGTTGGGGGGTGCTCGGAGTTAGTGCGATGGGGTGGGGTAGTGCAGTGTGGTGTAACCTGGTACCCACGGAATAGGTCGAAAGGGGGGTAGGGGTCATGGAGTCGGAAGACAATGGGGGTAAAGGGGTATTTTCATATGTTTCTTGATCAAAGGTAGGGTGTGTTTGACTGGATATGCGAGGGGTGGGGTACTTGATCTCAAGACGTTTCTTCATGGAGCATGCCGCGATACACGCGACCTTTCCTCCCCTCCTCCTCCCCCCCGCCCCTCCTCCGCCCCTCCTCCCCTCCTCTTCCCTCCTACCTCATCTTCTCCTTACTCCTTTCATATCATGGCAAAGCACTCTTTATGCACCGCCTGCGTCTCATTCTCCTCTTCTCATGACACATGTTTGCCCCCTTTTTCCCATACGTCCTTCCATCGCATCGAACTTGCTTGTATTGTTGCCAACCTGATGCCCGTCTGGAAAATCATTGATACAAAAAGACCAGTTGTTTGTTGTATCGCAGTCCCTTTGGACCTCTTGGTCGACATATCCCGTACTGTTCTTTACTTGTCTGAAGCTGTGTACCTTTGTGAATACGCCCAGGTAATGCTCGCGGGCTTTTCTGATTTTCCCTGCAGACAATGATAAGGAGCGTCAATATCTAGGAATTCAGCTGACTGCACTACTCTGCCACTAGCGTTGAGAACATTCCAGACGATCCACGAACTCTCCTGGTCCTGCCCATGTCCTTCGAAAGGACAAGTTTGTCTTGTAGCTCGTATTGTTGAGGTCTGGGCAAACGCACCAGCAGTCTCTCCCCCACTGTTCTCCCCTAAGAATGTCGGCGGCAGAGATGTTGCAGGTCAAACGGCTGCAAAAGCGGCGAACCGTGAGCAGACTAAGTCGCTCGTTGAGCTTCTGGACGACCTTGTACCTCGGCTGGTGAAGTGCAGGCGGCACAGGTCAGGGCTCAAGTCAGGACGGAGCGTCAAGCAGCTGCTGGAGGACCTGAGGGTTCACATCGGTAGGCTGCTGAAGACTCCGATGGAGGTGAAGGTGATAGACGAAGTGAGCATAGACGAGGGCATCACGGACCTGGTACTGAGGAGGGGGTTCTTGGAAGCGCAGGGGACGCTGATGATGACTGTGAAGCTCCCTTGCTTCACCATCCTCTCCTTGAGTCATGGCATCCGCAAGTACTTCTCGGGGATCCCGTTCTCCGGCCCTGTGGGCCAGTCCCTTGCTCACTTCGTCCCTGCATGGGACCTCCCCAAGTTCAGTGAGTTCGTGAGGGTCCTTGTAGAGTCCGGGGGCCGGCAGATCTCAAACGCCGAGTTCTGCCTCCTGACCTTCAGGTCGAACCTCATCCAGTGTCTTCCCTGCACCGTTGAGAGCGCCTGGCTGCAAGACGACCGCTATGCCTTCCTCTTCTTCAGCCTGCCTGAGCCTGGACCCCCCAGCAAGTTCCCCTCCAATGTCGACCTGGACGCGCTGGAGACGATGTACATGTACGACGACCTGGCATCCTCCATCGCGCCGTGGGATCTGGAGAAGGAGATGCACAACATTGAGATCGAGCAGCTTGACAGCACTTTCTGCGTCGACTGGAACTCTCTCTGGAGCAACTTGGAGATCAGAGCGGCACTGGACAGCGTGAGTGAGCAGATGGGCGCAAGGCCGACGCAGCTTGCGGCGAGGAGGCTGCAGGTGAAGCAGCAGGTGAAGGACGAGAACGGGCCGGTAGTGGTGTCGGAGTTCCGGATCAAACTGCCCTCGTTCCTGGGGTCGTACCAGAGCGAGTGGTTCGGGTGGAAGCAGGTCAGGCTAGACGGGACAATCTTCAAGATCGGGGATGGAACTTTCGCCACCTTCTGCGCACATTCAGACTCGCCGAAAGACGCTCTGCGCATCACTGAGTTCAAGTTCAAGCAGGTTGGGCGAGGATGGTCGGTCGTGGGAGCCGTAGTGGGGCCGGTGGGAGGGGAAGGGGAAGTAGGAAGGATGAGAGGTGGAAGAAGGAGAGGAGAGGAGAGGAGAGAAGAAAAAAGGAGAGAAGAGGAGAAAAAGGAGAGAAGAGAAGAAAAAAGGAGAGAAGAGGAGAAAAAGGAGAGAAGAGAAGAAAAAAGGAGAGAAGAGGAGAAAAAAGGAGAGAAGAGGAGAAAAAATGAGAGAAGAGGAGAAAAAAGGAGAGGGGAGGAGAGAAGGAGGAAGGGAGGAGAGGGGAGTTAGTGATGAAGGTGTGCAGGAGGGCAAGATGATGCGATGTTATCATACAAGGAGCATCACGATAACAAAGGAGAATCGATTGTTTCAAGGTCACGTGTATCCCACGCGGTCGGGCAAGTGAGTTCAAGGTCGATGCTGGTGTGAGGAGAAGTGACGGGAGAGCAGGCAGCAGTTTGAGTTCAAGCTCGTCGCTCAGAGGGTGGAGGAGAACGGAAAGGTGAGGAGGCTGAGGGAGAGGAGGGAGCGATCGGCTCTCCTGTGACGAAGATGACAGGAGGTGGAGGGGGGGGGGGGGGGCTGGGCCGAGGAGTGGGAGGCACCGGAGGAATGTAAAGTTGAAGGACGAGGAAGAAGTGTCTGCTGATT